TTTATTATATTATATATATATATATATATATATATATATATATATATATATATATATATAAACACTCTTTTAATGGATACTTGAGTAGATGCACTGATTTTCTTATTAAACCATATATTTATTTATTTACATCAACCTGCCTGAATATTTGAGAAATCATATTAGAAAAATATGTGCCCTCAAACAAGATTTCTCAGTTATTCTTGGCTGGTAGATGTAAGTGAATAAAGATACCGTTTAATAATAAGAACGAGGCTTCTATTAAAATATGAGTATCTGTTAAAAATTACGTTTAAACAAATTAATTAAAAATATGTCAAATTTAATCCATTTTCTAAAATGGATCAAATCTGACATATATAACCGAAAATGGATTAAGTGTGAAATATATATATATATATATATATATATATATATATATATAATGGACTCTCCCGTTAGTTTTGATGTCTGAGAATCTGACAGCTTAGTTGATTCAGCTATGAAATTTTGTGCAATAATCTTAAGTGGCATTTAAGACCCGCTAGTGATTTACAAAGGAGGCCACATATGGAGCAAGTGTGAGGATTGTGAGATGAGATCACTGTTAGATTGGCTGACCTTTTAGATCTTGCTCTCACTTCTTGAAGATGATTCAGACAAGCATATTGAAAATTGCTGAGTCCACTAAAACACGTTGATCACCCTTCTACCCACTCCAAGGCTAAGCGCTCAAGGTTGTTATGTGGTATATTGACAACTGACACGTTGCTTTTCAGCTTGTCTTTGTATCTTAGCCACGGGCGTCCGACATTCCTGTAGCCCTGATCTAACTGGCTGTACATTAGGATCTTGGGTATCCTGTCATCAGACATTCTCAAGACATGACCAGTCCACCGTAACTGAGACTGTATGAGAAAAATCTCAATTCCTCCAATATTACACCTGTTAAACAGGTCTACGTTAGATGTCCTGTTTAACTCCACGTGTTAAATTAAGCAGATGGTACGCAGATATATTATATAAAGATATGCTTTGTGGTACAAAATTTATGACCGCCATGAAAAACAAAAATTTATTTTTTATTACTACTCATGATGATAAGAGATAAAATGTAAAACTGAAAAACGGACTAGCAAACCGAGCCTTCGAACCTCGCTCAACAGAGCGAAATCGAGGTTAATAAATTATAATAGAATTATCACTAAAAAGAGATGGACAATATGCATAAGGATGGAGAGAAAATAATATTGCTTAGATGGAAATTAGTTGGAGGCCCAGCACGAAGTCTTTCTGTTTACACAGAGAAGGCTTCAAAGATAAAATATAAATGGCCTCCAACACTTTTAAGCGGTAATTCGAATGTGACTTACAAAAATGGTAAATGAGTCCACACTGAATGCACGCACATATATATATATATATACATATATATCGATGTAGAAACAGACAAATGTATGCTCCACTGCTATGTAACATCAATCCTCCTCCATGGTAGTGAATACCCGGATATAAGAGACACTGATATAAGAGAAACCCGGATATAAGAGAGATTTTCTCTGGTCCCAAATAAGAGCCTGTGTTAATGTATATTAAATAGACCAAACCCGGATATAAGAAAACCCGGATATAAGAGACTTCTTCTCCGGTCCCGACAACTCTCTTATATCCGGGTTACATTGTACTGAACAAATTTCCCATATATAGAATGGGTGTACGGGTGGTGTACGGGTGGTGTACAGGTGGTGTACAGGGTGTTAATCGGAGATCCGAGTTCCAATTCTTGTCGGATTAGTTATACTCCCGCGCAAATACCCTTGGGAAAAGCTAATCGAAATCTCCCCTTAACTATGGGTTAAATTAGCAAGACTTGTATAACTAAATCAAGATTATCTCCCCTCTTTTTAGATTTATTTAAATTTTCTTAGATATAAATGTAACTACCTTTGGCCAAAAATTGACTCACCACAAAACAATTCACTGTTAATAACTCATTCTCGAATTCTGTTGATATATAGCCGAAGGGTGCACATCCTACGCATGCCCACACCAAAATCATACTATGCCCCCATCGTTTGGGCATGCGCCCATGTAAGGAATCATTGATCTACGCTATCCAATCTAGACAATTGCTATTTCAAGGCAAATATCCGAATAAGTTCCATTTTTTTTATTCCCACCACTTCAGCCATTTAGAGCGAGAAAATGTCGTGCCAATTATTCTACGGAGTTTTTTTCCTTATTTTTTATCTATTCCGATTATGTGGAAACAATTCCACCAGATTTTCCCAAGAATTACCTCTTTCTGAAACAGTTGCTTGCGCGGATGCCTCTGAATACTACAGCCGCAACCTCTTTGAGTCAAGCGCCAATCGTTATCTATCCTCCCTATTCTCATAATCTTCAATACCTACCCACTCCTCTTACATTTCATATCACACTTCATCCATTGCAACCATTTCAACAGTAACTGTCTACTCTGCATTCTGAACTTTTTTTGAAAACCAAGGATAGGGAGGACAGATAAAGATATCTATCATCCCTATCCTCATAATCTTCGCTTTCCACCTCCTCCTTCATTCATATCCCACACCTATCCATCGTAAACATTTCAACAGAAACCCTACAATGCAATCTTAACCTTTTCAACCCAAAGGTCAATCGTTATCTATCATCCCCTATCCTCATAATCTTCGCTTTCCACCCCTCCTCCTTCATTCCATATCACTCGCCTGATCCATCGTAAACATTTCAACAGTAACCCTCTACACTGCAATCTTAACCTTTTCAACCCAAAGGTCAATCGTTATCTATCATCCCTATCCTCATAATCTTCGCTTTCCACCCCCTCCTTCATTCATATCACTCGCCTGATCCATCGTAAACATTTCAACAGTAACCCTCTACACTGGAATCTTAACCTTTTCAACCCAAAGGTCAATCGTCATCTATCCTTCATTTCATATCGCACACCTCTTTCATCGTAACCAAATGCACCTCAATTACAACCTCTTTAAGTCAATGGTCAATCGTTATATATCCTAACTTTCCTCAAAATTTTTTCACTAGCCTCCTCTTACATTCATATCATATCAGTAAAACTCTACCTGAGCGACCTCGAGTTTTGTATTGAGTGGAAAAATGCAAACAATTTGACATTGTGACGACAACACATTAAATCTGAGCAAGTCTCTTTTTAATTCACTGCACATTGAGCCCTCGAAAATAAAATGTTGACACATCACGGACAATGATCTATAGATTATCGCAATTTCTATTTATCGATTACAGCAATCGATCGGCTTTTTTAAGAATACAAAGTTCGTTTAGATCCGATGTTTGCAATGTTCCCCAACGGAGTCGATATATTGCGCCTTTATGATTTAAATTTATTGGCCCATCCGAGAAAGGATTCTCGTGAATGGGAAAGAAAAGAGTTCATTGTTTGCCTGAATTGGTTGGAATGAATTGACTTTTCACCAAATTAATGTCATCGGTATTGCTGATCGATATAACAAATCAATTTGTCTGTATATGAATATTATATCAGTCCCGCGTATATTGCAACACTGTTTTTACTTCTATGAAAGCTGCCACTAATATACAAACAGGCCAACGTTTTGTATTGTTTGGTGACTACTGTCGTCATGTCAGCCATGTTGGTTGCATCGAAACTCTAGTTACCAAGACATTTTTAGACCAATGAACCAAATTTCTGATTCATGCTGAAAATTAAATTAGCTGTCTTTTTTTTACCAGGGAGTAAAAAATTTTCATAGTATTAAATAACATCACGCATATGGTCTTTATCGAGGCCTTTATTGCTCTTAGTAAAGTCAGTGAAGAGAAAAAAAACAACTGAGTAAGAGAGAGAGACATCTTATTTTTTTTTTCCTTGCTTGCTACTGTAAAGCACCTTCGGACTGTATGTGTTCGCTAAGAGGCAATAATTTTTCACGGAAAATGCTGGAGGAAAACTCTTTTTTTTTTACAACGAAATATCCTAATTCGTTAATCCAAAGTCCAATGAAAAAAGCCACTGAAATTCCACCAAATCTGTCCTCCATTTTGCGATCGGCCATTCCTCAACTCAGGACTTATGACCGTCAACTGACCCTATCAAACATATCATATTTCAAAAATACTTAATAAAAATATTTCTAACATGTGTATCTGTTTATTAGCTAGAGATATTTTTTTTAATTTTTAATACTTAAATAAACGTATTCCCTTTAAATGTATACACATGTTATATAAAACTTATTCGATCGATATATATATATATATATATATATATATATATATATATATATATATATATATATAATCTCTGTTCATATCTATCTATGTTCATATCTATCTATCTAGACATCTCTCTTCATATTTTTTACATCTATCTATCTCTGTTCATATCTATCTCTGTTCATATCTATCTACCTCTGTTCATATCTAGCCATCTATCTAACATCTATCTATCTATCTATCTATCTATCTATCTATCTATCTATCTATCCCTGTTCATATGTATCGCTGTTAATATCTATCTCTGTTCATATCTCTCTCTAGCCATCTCTGTTCATATCTACCTATCTATCTATCTTTCTCAGGCTGTTCATATCTATCTATCTATTCATCTATTGATCTATCCTTCTCTGTTCATATCTATCTATGTTCATATTTATGTTCATATCTATCTCTGTTTATATCTATCTAACTATTCACATCTAACCATCTATTTCTGTTCATATCTATCTATCTATCTATTCTCTCTGGAGTTTTTTCAAATCTGCATTTTGACATCCTTGTGTATATATATATATATATATATATATATATATGGTATATATATATATATATATATTTATATTTGTCAACAAAAACTGTAAAAAGTTCTCAGGCATCAGTTTAATTGTCATTTTAAATGGAAGCTAAATGTTGAAATGATAAACTCTGTCCTGAACTTTTCCCCAGATGAAAATTTAAACAATGTTTAGATGAAAATGGCAAACCAAAAACTCACCTTAAAGAACATGAACATAGATAGATAGATAGATAGATAGATAGATAGATAGATAGATAGATAGATAAAAAGAAAACATTGATGTAAATATAAGCATAGTTAGATAAATATACGCGTAGATAGATAGATAGATAGATAGATAGATAGATAGATAGAATAATGAAATAATGAGATAGATAGATAGATAGATAGATAGATAGATAGATAGATAGATAGATAGATAGATAGATAGATAGATAGATAGGAATAGTGGATAGCGGCTCGCATTGAGGAATTGGAGTGCCGAGTTCAAATTCCATTCAGATTTACATTCACTTACGTGCCACTAACCTTGGGAAAGGTATTGATCCACTTCTTCTCCTCCAGCTATGGGTAAATAGGGTTCTATAGCCTTGGATGGCAACTGGTCTAGGAGAAGGACAACTCTGAATTCAAAACCTGCGGAGGGTCGTTTGGGGACCTTGTGGCACGTTGTGCACCAGGTCTCTGTATTCATTTTCAAAAGTGTGGTTGGTTCTGCACAAAGCCTTCATCACTATAATCAAATCATATGTGCTGGTGTCTGGGCTGTCGGTTCCTAGGAACTGAGCCGTTTGACCCTCAGACGTCGAATACAGGAGGGCCCACCAAATATATATATATATATATATATATATATATATATATATAGAAGGAGCACTGTCGTGCATAAATACATACTTCACTTTGAAACTGCAAGACTGGGACTTGTACCATTTAAAGAAAGTCTTGTTCATAAAAAATCGCAATAGTTAACATTGTTCAGTTTAACTCCTTCATAGACTTTGAATGGTCCAATAATGATTTGGTCAACAATTCCAACCCATATCATAACACTACTGACTCCTTGTTGCCGTCTTTTAGCCACAGGCACATCTGAATTGGATAAAATCCATCCTTTAGCCCATCTATCAGGTTTATGCAATGTCACTCGAGATTCGTCCGTGAAAATTACTTTTGAAAATCAATTTTCATGTATTTTTTTGGCCCAATTTTTGCGCTTTAAAATATTTGCTTTTAATGAGAAGAGGTTGCCTAGAATTTTTAAAGATCCCAATTCATAAACTATTTGATATGTCCCGGAAATGGATATATTTGTTCGAAATAGCAAAGTGGTTTTGTGCTACTGTAACCGGATAAGACAATCTAGCAGGTAACCATAATGGACTGGTCCTAGTCGTAGTGGTAGGCAATAGGCGTAGGCGTAGTCCATGTACCTCCACATCAGTCTGTATTTATGACTGACACCAGCCAATCATATTACTGTGAGGGGGAACCCAGGTGTATGCATATTCATTACATCACTATTCTACACATTTTTGTCATTGTTGACTCTCTCAGTTCCAGCCTTTTCAAAGATCTGGGCGCTGGTCATAAATGGTTGATTCGCTATAACTCATATATATTTTTACGTTCATCTTGAGGAAGTCATTTTTAAAAGCCTTTTCCGTTTCTTCTCAATTTAATTATATTTTCAACAACCTTCTTTATCGTTCAGTGATCTCTGTAAAGCTCCTTTGATATTTCCAATGTGGACATTTCCTCACACAATAACTTTGTTATTTTCTGTTTTTCAGCAGTTATTAAATCCTTCCCTTTTACCCATGTTTCAAATATATATTAAAGACAAAAAAAAAAAAAAAAGTTTTATTAGATTTCAGAGGTCACAAGCTAATATTAGTTTAATCTGCATAATAACTTCAGTCAGACCATTTTTCGTTAATTCCAAATATCTCAAAAACTAACTATTAGAAATGGTAAAAATTTAATTAAATATTTTACTATCGTTGTAAATGGACAAGTTTAAATTTCACAAATATTGGTTCAGAACATTTTACGTTATTGAGGTTTATCTGATTTGCATAATACTTTCAGACAGGCTGTATATATATATATATATATATATATATATATATATATATATATAATTTTTATTTAAAAATATGATTCCAACATGCTACATAAGAGTTCTCATGTTTCAAAACATGCCGAAAATTCAATATAATTATTTGAATTAAATTAATTAAATATATATGTTCCATCTTCAAGCAAAATTTTTTTTGGAATATTATTTCTAAATTTACGTGTTTTATAAGCATATTCATTATTTGTACCATAGAAAATTTGATTTCAATAATGAATATGCTTATAAAACACGTAAATTTCAGAAATAAGTTATTCAAAAAAAATTCGCTTGAAGATGGAACAGAGCTACTTTTAATTCAAATAATTATATTGAAGTTTTCGGCTCTTGTTTTGAAACATGAGACCTCTTATGGATAGCGTGTTGGAATCATATTTTAAATAAATAATTATATTTATGCTCTACTTTGTATCGAGCACTATTTTTTAAAAATAATAACAAAAATACTTTGGATTATTTACCTAACGAGTTCTTTCCTATTTTCTATATATTTTCACACATATATATATATATATATATATATATATATATATATATAATGAAATGGACAAAGTCCGACAATTTTTATGTTTATACGTTCTTTTATAGATACAAATATTTAAGTAAATGCTCTATTTATAATAAACAGTATTAAACAACATTTACCGGCCTGAATGTTCGAGAAATTTTCAAGAAATATTCGTCCCCCGACAGAATTCGAACCTGTATCCTATACGGAACCGTCATATAACTTGACATGCCTTTACCGAATTGGCCACAGAGGAGCGTTCGGTTAGCAAGGTCGAATTTACTGTATTTACTGTCGGAGGACGAATATTGTATAAATAATCAATATTTAGCTATAGACTCAAGTATAAATGTTCAATGTTTTCTTATAGACTCAAGTATAAACGAACAATATTTGGCTTTAGTCACAAGTATAAACAATCATTATTTACCTATTGACTCAAGTACAAACGGTCAATATTCAGCAATAGACTCAAGTATAAATGATCAATATTTACTTATAGACTCAAGTATAAAAGACCAATATTTGGCTATAGTCACAAGTATAAACATTCATTATTTACCTATTGACTCAAGTACAAACGGTCAATATTCAGCAATAGACTCAAGTATAAATGTTCAATATATACTTATAAACTCGAGTATAAACAATTAATATTTAGCTATAGACTCAAGTATAAACGAACAATCTTTAGATTTAGACTCAGTATAAATAAACATTATTTACTTAAATACTCAAGTATAAACAACATATATAAAGCTATAGACTCAAGTATAAATGATCAATATTTACTCATAGACTCAAGTATAAACGACCAATATTTAGCTATAGCCGCGAGTAAAACAATCAATATTTGCTTATAGACTCAAGTATAAATGATCTATCTTTAGATTTAGACTCAGTATAAACAATCAATATTTACTTATAGACTCATGTATAAACAACCAATAATTACCTATAGGCTCAAGTATAAACGATAAATATTTAGCTATAGACTCAAGTATAAATGATCAATATTTTCATCTAGACTCAAGTATAAAGACCAGTATTTACTTATAGACTCATGTAAAAACAATCAATATTTACCTATATACTCATGTAAAAACAATCAATATTTACCTATAGACTCAAGTATAAACGATCATATTTCCTTGTAGATTCAAGTATAAACGATCAATATTTCCCTATAGATTCAAGCATTAACGTCCAATATTTGCTTATCTCCGAACGAATTGAATGTTTACTATTTGCACTATTTACATTTTTCGGACTGTTCTCCTCATCTTTATTGTCATATTTAAGACATTTTAGCCGTTGTACGCTCCGTCCTTCTTCCGTCGGAATTTCGAACAGAACCCTTTATTTCGTCCACCGTGTAGACTTTTCTCGTTCCACATGCCATGCATGATTTTTCAGTTCAGTTATTTCCTTTTATAATTCAAGTCCCCCAAGTTTTGTTCGCCTCTGCTGTGGCTAGGTATTGAACTCACAACACTTTGTATCATTTCAACCAACGCATCTCGACTTCAGTACCCTTCCCATCACTGTAACATGGCTTTAGTTTCTTTTCTCATACTTCTCAAATGGATTTCTTCCTTCCCTGCCCTCTACAATCTTCAAAATTTAAATACAACCTCAATCGCCATCTTCTGCCCCTTGAATTCTTTCCTTTTATTGGCTGTTTCTTCGCTAAACGTTTGGTGATTCTCTTTTACTCAAGTAACCCCCTTGCGTCTTAGTGGCATTATCACCTTGCTTGGAGGGTGAAATGATAAAAAAAAATTTTGTTTCACCTCCATAAGAAATAAAAGCAACTAAAGTGAAGATTATAAAAAGAATTTTTTGAAAAATCGTGTTAGTCCTGGGTATGACGATAAACTACATACGGCAGCAAAAGCTCTGATCAGGAGATTTTGAGGAGCATGGAATTACCTCTTAATGGCTGTTGTTTCCAGGTTCACACTGACTCGGGGTGGTAGCACCTGTTAGGGTCCCAGGTATGGGCAAATAGCGAACAGACCAAACGAAAACAAATATAATGAAAGTATAAAAATAATTTTTATATAATAAAATTACCAGCAATACATATTTATTGTAAATTGGCCACCAATAAATGTTTGTAGTAATATGACTGGCAATATATATTTCTAGTAAAATTACCAAAAATACATTTTATATTAGAATGAACATCAATGTATATTTATAAAGAGTGTTTCATTAAGACGGATCAAAGTCAGTAGTAAATAAATCAGTGTTACTGGTGAAAATTTGTTTATTTCTCTACTGGATCGTGTTATTTAAGTCATGGCAATTATATGTGAAAAATAATATCACCCAAATGTCCGCCAAGGCTTCAGCGGCACACCTCCAGTCGATGGTCAACATTTTTGATGACGTCTTTGCATAGTTGCTTCTCGATCTCACCAATATGCCTTATCATCTCATCTTTCAGCTGTTTAATTGTTGTTGGCTTGTTGGCATAGACCTCACTTTTGTGATGTCCCCCAAAGGAAGAAATCTAAAGGCGTCAATTCGCACGATCATGGAGGCCAATTGACTTCGCTGTTTCGAGAGATGATGCGACATGGGAACTTACTTATTCTTACTTTCTCAGATATAACCCTGGTAAAGTAAAACTTGTATATGAATTTTATGTAAGGATGTTACATTAAGACGGATCAAAGTCAGCAGTAAATAAATCAGCGTTATTGGTGAAAATTTATTTATTTCTCTATTGGATCGTGTTATTTCAGTCATGGCAATTATATGTGAAAAATAATATCACCTAAATGCCCGGCAAATCCAAAAGA